TAAATCGCTACCGACAGCATCTGATAGACAACGATAGATTACAAGTGTTTATTTTAACAGCAATAAATATTTAACAACTAATATAAGTTTTCGCAGCCCCAAGTAGCATGTTAATAGCAAGTAATACTTTTTTCTTAGTTTTATGAGAAACAAGTAAATTTCTAGTATAAAATGGATATAATGTATGAGTAAGCATAATAAATATTATTTTCTAATGCGCTACTTTAGAAGTACTTCACGAAATTAATTGATGTTCGAGAAAAATCGCATTACTTACTCACAAAATACAACCATGAGAGGAGAAAAAAAAGTTTTCTTATCAAGGTACAATTAAATAGATATTTTTCGGCTTGAAAGTATACTTAACACCCAAAAAATTACGTCAGTAGTTAAATATACACTACTGTTAAAATAAACGCTTGTAACAGATCATGGTCTGTAAAATTCTGTGTATTCTTGTTAGTCAGCATCGACAACTTTATCCCTGCAGATTGCGTTGTTTCAATTCACTGCACGAAGCGAATATTCGCATAAGCGAATACTCGGCTTTGCCTCGGGTGGCAAATATGCGGACGGTGATGTGCTTTTTCCCTGTCGAGTGGCGAATACGATTTTCCTCCATACCTGGCAGGAAGTTCGCAACCCAAAAAAGATTATTTGTTGCTTAATTTTATATAAAATCAATACGAAGTCGTTCCGTCGTTCATTGCGAATGCTCATGCGTTTTTTGATCTAGTGACTCTAGGGAAATAAAGAGCAAGCGAGATAGAAAACAATATATAGCGACTCCGGTACTGTATGCAGCAGCTACGCTCGTATAAGTCGTTCAATTACATATAAAATTCCATTACACACAAAATTTATATTAAAATCTTTTATAATGGCACTATGGAAATCATATTAATATGTTATACTCCTGCGATGGTATTTCAGTTACGTGAAAAATATACTTGGAAACAAAACAGACATACAGGTATGCCACCAAATACATTAGCTTCATACATACATTCACAGAATCGCTTTTAGTACTCAGACGTATGGAGACTAAGTATTTTTATTAGTTGAGTATATCACTACTCACTGGCTAAAATCATAATTGTTACACTCTGCAACCTGCATATGCAAGGTTATGATCTGATCGAGTGTTTTGGTTTTCGTCAGCTGAACATAATCATCGACTATAGCTATATACACAGAAGTCGCTGATGACTGACATAAGAAAATAATGCACAGTACGTTAGTGCGCAACAAAAAAATTCCCATCCTGGTCAGGAATGCGCAACTTTCCAGCCTGAAATCAGGACGGGAATGCGAACGTCAGGGTATGATGAAAGAGTATAATGCGTACGAGTTTGCAAAGGCTTCGATTTACGAACCGAGAGGTTTACGGCACGAGCCGAAGGCGAGGGCCATAACGAGGTTCGTAAAGAAGCCTTTCCGAACGAGTTTCGTATACTATTTTTCCGCCTGAGAACCCAAAATCAAGCGGCGAAGGTGCTATTTTGAGGTTAGAAGGCGGAAATAGTATATTGCGTACGAGTTTGCAAAGGCTTTGATTTACGAACCGAGAGGTTTACGGCACGAGCCAAAGGTGAGGTTAGAAGGCGGAAAAACAGGATTCCTGACCACCACTGCGGCGCCAGCCATTTGATATGTATGAATGTGTCTTGAAAAAGATTACCTGTATACTTAAGGTGCATGGAGTTCTAAATCGTTTTTGTTACAGGAGTGGTCTGCTGTCGGTTCAATTACGCAAGTTGTTGGCTAGTGCCTTTGTGTTTCCCAACTTTGAGTTTTGCTGTTTAGTTTACATCAATCTCTTGGGCTTTCTTGATTTAAAATGAACTAGGCCTATAAGCTTTGTTGTGCGTTACATTTTTTGTTTAAGTGCGATGTATCTCTTTAACCTTATTATGATCGACTGGATTGGCTTACTGTACCTGTGCATAGAAATAAATGTCTAGATCTTTTTTTGTATTAAATTTTACAAACTGGTGTCTTTGGATATTTGACTTGTATATTTCTGGATATTGGTAAATTATGTTGCTCAGCGAAAAATGCTACATCAAGAATTTCTAGGTTAATCACCTAAACGGAAGCGTACTCGAAGTATTTCACAGTTAGAGCAGTAAATTTTCGAAATCAACTATCAGACGAATTACGTAGGATAGAACCTTCTTAGTACAAAATAGCATAAGATGATAGGTATCGAATTTTTTACGTACGAATAATCCTGTGTACATTGATATAATCACCCCTTAATGCCATTTTACATTTTTGTCACTGAAATCGATACCACCAAACTACGTTATGAGCAATAGAATTTCTAAGTTAAGTGAATCTAAACCCTTTGGTTATTTAAAGTGCTGTTATGACTGGTCGTCGATGGGAATTAAAATTGTACGGAAACTTTTATTCTGTTGCACAGTGTTGCATTTTAGTTTTTTCCATCAAAAATCAATAATTTTCGAAGGTAATAACATATCGTGATAATTTTTTTTTTTTTTTTTAAAGATAATTGTATGTACAATAGTAGGAAATGTAGAAAATCTGATTGAAAAACTTCCCAGGCTGGAAAATTTGTAAAAACTTTGATTTTTTGAAAATCTAGTGTTTGAGCAGTGCAGTTTTGTAATCTTACAAGATTTTTTTTTAAACTAAATTTCTAAATGTTGAAATACACGTTCATTAAAAGCAACATTAAAACCGTCGATTAGCATTCCAATCAAAGTGATTGTTTTAACATAACCTCAAAATATAGCCTAAAATCGAATACATGCTCGAAGCATTTGAAAATTTTATTGTGTAAGTGATAAAAAAAACATTTTTGATACTTTTTTTTCTTCATACTAGATGATATTAATTTCAAACTACTTAAAAAAACGCATTTATAACCTCAGGGTCGCTAAATTTCAGTGTTATTAAAATAATACGCAAGTAATTAAAAGAGAAAAAATATCATCTATTATTTAAATAACAATTTAATCTTTTTGATCATTAGTAACGGTTTAGTTTCTTAAATATATAAAGAAAAGTTATACAACTTAACCATATCCTCAAAACACTACTGCAGTAAAATTAAAAATTAGGGTAATTTTGATGTACTTTTGATCGTTAGCGATTAAATAATTTCTCTAATAATCAAATTGTCAAACTTTAGAGAAAATACTCGATTTTAGGCTACATTTTAAGTTTATGTTAACATAACCCTGTTGATTGGAATGCTAATGGACGATTTGAAGGAAACAACCAAAATTCGACACTGTGTTGCGTAGTAGGTGAAAATCACTGGGCTAGACATCTAGCTTCGCCGTATTTATCGTTGTTTACCATTATATTTATTACAATTTACGAAATTGTATGAAGCAGTTACCATTTAGATATTTTATCCTTGGCATGAATTAACTTTTACTAATTTATTAATCTGTCTCTCAATATCTGTTTTCATGATCTAAGCGTTCAGCTTATAATCAGTCGATTGAAGTTTAAATCCCTGAATATTTAAGGTCTTTCTAATTGACCAAATTACTTTTTAATCAGTAGTAGATGGTATTTGTAGTGGTTAATATAATTAAGTGGAGGGAACTATTGAGAATGTAATACATTTATAGTGGAGACTATGTATAGATTGTACTGATGTAAGAGAGATGGGCTTACTGTAAAAAGCATTGTAAGATTCAAGAGAAAGCCCTGGAGCTTGGAGGAAATTAATTGAAAGTTAAAATTAGTAAAAGAAGTGAAAAAGGATTTGTAGTACGGAAATTGAATTGGTGAACTTTTGGATATTAGTTGAGGAACGAGACCTGACATAAGTTGTAGTTTAAATTATTTAAGCAGATATTAAAATTGTTATGATAAAACACATTTTAAGTATGCGATGAGAGTTTTAAAGTACGTATTCTTCAAAAATTACTAGCAACAAAAATTAACTAGGTGGGAACCAGTGAGACGAAGTCAGATACAAAATGTGAAGAAATATTAAGCAATAAAATTGAATTTATAAATAGTAATGTTAAAAGAAAAAAAAGCGATAAGATTGAATTAAAATTACTTCATAAAATAGTTAAATCCTAAATAAATACTACTTTAAAAAAATAAGATTTAACTTTAATGCCCGTTTGAGTCTTTTAAATTATTTTTTTTCTTCATAATTCTTTTCTCAAAAAGTGGTTTCATCAACAATAGTTATTTGTCAAGCTTGAATATGCTCAAATTCTGAAAAAATTGTATGTCAAAGTAAACTAATATTTTTTATTCACTCAAACAATAGCTTAAACATATTAAAACTTGGCGAAGAATTATTGTGCATCTCACTACATTTTAAACCGTGATCAAATAAGAAAAATAATAATTTATAACGCTTATACTGGCATTATGTTTCTCAAGCTTTTATGAAGGTATACAAGTACATAAAAAAAAATTGGTCCCAAGATGTCTCCAACTTTCTGATGGACAAATAGTTTCCATATTTCCGAATTCAACATACTAACTTAAATGCTACCAACGTAACTAACTCGAGTGCTATCAACACAACAACATACTAACTCGAATGTGGTAATATGGCTTGACAATCGTCGAGACGCTCTAAAAATTTCAGGCCATCAAAAAATTTTAGCAATAAAAACTCGAGTCTTGAGGTATCGAACCTTCTAGTCAAAAATTTGAGGTTGCTAACTTGAGAGAGTATGAGCACTCAATACTGGTAACCTCAGCTTACCAATTCAAAGATTCGACGTGATACCTCGGGACTAAAGCTATTTGCTCAATATTTCTTGGAGTCAGCCCAAAGTCTTCTACCTCGAAGTAAAGAAGCTCAAAGTTGTACATAATACGTTACCTAAGTATGTTCCCACATTAGTAAGCAGGGAGCTCAAAAATGATAGAGCTCGTCTACCAAAAAAATTAAGTCATTAGAATCATTTTTTTTCTGTATACATATTTTTTGTAGTGTCCATGGTGAAAGAGAGAAAGAGAGAGAGAGAGAGAGAGAAGGGACTCACTTGTATAACGAGCTGACAAGAACGAATTGGTAGATGACAGGTGAGCGCTCGCTCATGCAAGTATGGAAAATCCCATCAACGTTGGCTTTGAGCCGCATACAGATAAGGTAGCAGTCAGTCATGATGTCAAGATCAAGGATGCTCGGGCTCTTGGAGGAGAAAAAGCTGCGCGCTTCAGGCCCAAAAAGCTGACCCGAGATGAGTTGCTGCTTGTTCTCAACCTGCTTGTGGAAAGCGGAGTGGTGTCCTGGCTCGATGTACGTAATAGCCTTGCATAGCTTTATACCTGCTATGGTGTAGATCCGGCTTGAATCACCGAGATCGCACAACAACCGGCTGAAGAAGTTCCACTTACGCTCAAGAGCGGGATGAGTTCGGCACTGGGACTCGGTTAACTGGGTGCAGCTCAGCGGAGATAGGCTTAAAAGAAGAGCGAGGAGAGAGAGGTAGCTTACTGTCTGGCCTTTCTTCTGATTCGTCCAAGGCTCAATGATGTCAAAAAGTTGGCTACACGTGACGTCAAGCTCATCGTTAGGTATCTTCTGAATTTGCGCAAGTTCTTGGGGGTACATCTCCATCCAGTTGTTAATCGCCTTTTCAAGACAGCTGAGCCAAACTGAAAGCGCCGACCTCTTCAAAAACACGTCTTTTTGGGTCTTATCAATTAGCTGTACTTTATCGATCGTGACTGTTAATCAATATTAGTAATTTTTATTAATGAATGCAAACACGTCAGCATTATTTTACTATTACATTGATCTAAATACTTACTTTTTAAAAACTTGATGAGAAAATCAACTTTTAAATTGAGGTATTGAACAAGTTCAATGTCAGTATATTCCTGATTGTCATCTTTGCACAGATCGGTGAGTCGACTGCTGATGCGACCATAAATAGAGGCGAAAAAACTTGAACTTAGAGAATAAGTGACCTTTTTCGCTAGGTTTCTCACTTCCATATTCGGGGGGTAATCAGTTGTAATTCCTAGAAAATATAATAATTGCTCAATTAACAACGTTGGCAATTATTGTAACCATGACTATGTGTAAGCTTTCAAAACCAGCCTGTAGTTGTTTGTGTATGTGTCATCAACGATTATACTATTTTCAGAATGATACGTTTCTATGACTTCCTTATAGAATTCGCAAGTTAACATTTGCAAATACGTATATTAAGCCAACACATCTAATTGTGAACCCCACAACAGAATCATATAGTTAATTTATATCTTAGATATCTTAGAAGATACATAAATATCTCCAATTATTCCTTTTTGTTAAAACCCTCTGACTACTAAACTAGGTTTAAATTCATTTTCAACACGCCATATGCGGAGACTCAATTATGAGCCACCTGTCGTGGCTCTAAAGACCTCGATTTACACACGCGACTCACAGCTCGTGCTGTGCACTTGCGCGAGTGCGTGTGTACGTCAAGGTCTTTGCAGAGCCACATTAGATGGCTCTAAATCTCATTCCCCGCACACGTTGTGTCAAAAAGTTTCATACACCACGCGTGCGTCAATCGCCTTTCCCGCGCACTAGTGTTGTAATGTACTATTTTATCCCTTTATAAAGAAACCAATTCACATGTAAAACTTATTTTTCGTCTTATCCTGGTTGCTAAGCGTCGGAAAATAATTAGCTTGAATCTTACTAAACGAAGTTTCATCCAATATTCACATGATATGTCTAGATATTCAGCTAATTTTTACCTGATAATCAGTTGATTATCAGTCATTATATATTGAGTGATGATCAGCTAAAAATCAGATGATAATTATAAGAAAATCAGGTGAATATGAGGTTATTTAAATCATGCCAAAATGTCATACTAAAACTTCGCGCAAGTTAAATTTCTTTGCGTAGCGTTTTAATCAGTATAAGCTGCTGCTCATCGAGTGCAGTACTTAATTGCTACAGTAACTTGCTAAAGAGTGACTTATTACTCTTTTTGAAGTTAAAACTGCTTGAGGCGCGTTGGACGATTTTGTATGAGTAAAAACTCTTGGTTTCGCGTCAGATCGCTTTCATTTAAAATCAAGGCAATCCCTGCAGAGAGTCGCGTGTGAGCGCGAGAGAATGAAATGGTAGTGAGGGGGCGGAAGGAGAGGTGGAGCTTGCTTTATATTGGCTGGCAGTAGAGAAGGAGAGAGCAGCTTGGCGGCGCAGCAGGGTATGGCCGTATGCATACCCATACTACTTTGGGTTACTGTGTTGATCTCTCTTAGAGGCGAGGAGAATAACGGGTGCCTCGGTGACGAGGAGTCAGGAGGCGAAACATAGGCTGTTGAGATAGCACTCGCAAGAGAATGAACAAGATGCTTAGCTTTATTTCTTTCAGTACAGAAGGAGTGAAATCACATACAGAGTAACTTCTCAATAGTGTAGCTCCTCAAGCTTCTGAGCACGACGTGAGCCAGAGGAATTTGTGTGCGTCTCGATGGGCTGCATGAAGGCGAGAGAGATCCAACGATGCTGTTGCTGGCGCCTCAGCTGCGGCGGCTCGGGCCGCGAGCAGAAGGGGGAGCGGAAGTTCTGAACTGACTAGTTAAAAGAGCTCTCTTGGCTTGAGCTTCTGCTTGCGGCGAGGATGTGTTAATGGCGCGTTAGCCTGGGGCGCTACATCCACTATCCCTCCAGAGACCAGCCTGGGCCCGGCTGTGAACGTGACTTGTCGCTTAGGGCAAGATACCGGTCGAGCGCCGAGAGCTGTTGAGGCGGGCTGTTGCTTGGGTTGGGCCGGCTGAGGGTTTGTGGGTGGGCTGGCAGAAGGTTGAGGCGAAGTTGGCTCTGTAGGAGCTGGCTGCTCTGGTGATGTGGGCTCTGCTGCTTCCAGATAAGCGGGCTTGAGCTGATCGGTTGAAATTACCCTTTCATCACCGTTGACTTCAACCACATAGGTGCGATCGTCGATGCGGCGTATGACTCTGTGTGGGCCAGTGTAGGGTGGTTCAAGAGGCTTTTTTAAGCTGTCAATGCGTCTGAAAACATGCGAGCAGTGGCGAAGGTTCTTGAAAAAAAATGGATGATGTTCAGTGTGCCTGGACACGGGTACTGGGCGGATGGCTCTGAAAAGTTGGCGTAGGCTGCAGACGAAAGCGGTTTGGTCGGCCTGTAGAGATGCTGTGATAAAAAATTCGCCTGGAATTCGAACTAAGGTGCCAAACAGCATTTCAGTAGGCGAAGCTTGGAGGTCGTCCTTGTAGGCCATGCGTAGACCCAGTAAAACTGTAGACAGGGCGTCAAGCCATGACTGAGGACAGCATCGTAACGCCGCTTTTAAGATCCTGTGAAACCTTTCCACCATCCCATTCGCTTGCGGGTGATAGGCTGTGGTGCGAAGGAGCTTGGCGCCGATCACTCGTGCGAGCTCTGCGAAGAGTTCGGACTCAAACTGGGCCCCTCTGTCAGAAGTTATGAAGAGAGGCGTGCCGGACTGAGGTTTCCAGTGATCTATAAGTGCCGTGACGATGGTGTTTGTTTGGATGTTCGGCAGAGGGATTGCCATTGGCCATCGCGTAAACCTGTCAACAATAGTTAGGCAGTATTGCATGCCCTGCACTAAGGGCATCTTGATAAGGTCGATGTGCAGGTGCTCGAAACGGTTGTCGGGCTCGGTGAAACAACCAAGGGCAGCGCGATTGTGTCGGCTGACTTTAGACCGTTGGCATGCTTCGCAGTGGCGGGACCAAGCAAGTGCGTCCTTCTTGATGTTGGGCCAGACAAACTTTTGTGCCAGCGTGCGGGCCGTTGATTTGTCACTTGGGTGGGCAAGTCCGTGGATGATGTCGAAAGCTGTGCGGCGGAGCTGGGTGAGCAGGAAAGGCCTTAAAACGTTGTTGGCGACATCGCAGTAGACTGCATGGCCGTCGAGGTTTAAAAGCTGGAGCTGGAGGCTGAAATCAGAAATGAGTTCCTGGAGCTCGTTGTCTGCAGCTTGTGCGTCGGCGATTGTTTCGGCGTTTAAAGATGAATGCATCGTGATGGTTGCAGTATCCAAGCTGGCTGGCTTTACGTGGCTTGGGTCTTCTGAGACTGCTGCTGTGCTAGGACAGGGCGGTGCTGGGCGTTGAGTTGGAGTTACGAACGAGCCATGTGGGTCGATTCTCGATAGCACGTCAGCGACGATGTTGTCCTGGCCTCGGGTGTGAGTAAGCTGAGTGTTGAAGCGTAGCAAGTACTCGAGTTATCGTGCGCATCGAGGAGAGGCCTTATCAGACCGTTGACTGACTGCGTGTATGGCTTTGGAAAATTTTGTATGGCTTCGGTCTTTGCTGGAGGTGGTTGAAAGCCGTCTGCTGAGACTTCATAATCCAAATACAGAGCTTGAGGTTTGCCGAAGGTGAATTTTCCATAGTTGGCTTTGAGCTTAGCTTGCCGGAGAGTCTCGAACAGCTGGCGGAGGTGGCTGAAGTGTTCCTCTTGATCCTTGCTAGCGACGAAGATATCATCTACGTATGCCTTGGCGAAAGGCAGTGTACGCAGTACATGGTCGATTGTGCACTGCATTGTTTATGCTGCGTTGCGCAAACCAAGAGACGTGCCGATGAATTTTAAAAGGCCAAAAGGCGAAGTTACGGCGGTCTTACCGATGTCCTCCTCCGCTATCGGGATCTGGTAGAAAGCGTTTTGTAGATAAACCGTGGAAAAAATGCTGCCTTTGCTTTCTTGGAGCAGGTCCTCGATAATTGGAAGTGGGTATCGGTCCGGTAGAGTGCATGCGTTCAGGTAGCGGTAATCGCCGGTGACGCGCCAAGAGTCGTCCCTCTTGGGGACCATATGCAGAGGACTGGCCCATCGGCTGTTGGACGGCCTGATGATTCCCTGTTCTAGTAGGTCTGTGAAGACTTTTTTAGCAGCTGCTAAACGCTCACCTGTAAGCCTGCGAGGGCGTTCGAAAACTGGGGATCCTGTTGTAAGGATCTTGTGCTTCACAGGGAGACCCGGTGGTTGGACTGGACTGCTACCTGCCTTGAAGATGTCCTCAAACTCTTTGATTAGGGCAGCGTACCTTGTGGCGATGTTGTTCGGCTGCTTTGCTGGGTCAATGGTGGAAATTGAGTGTAGGCGCGCCTTGGAAGCAGTGCCCGTTGCGGTTAGGCCCGTGAGATCGTCGACAAAACGATGGCTCTTGAGGTCAAGCAGTAGGTTGTACTTTATCAGGAAGTCTTCTCCCAGTATTCCATACGGGACGTCCACGTCTGCTGGGGCCATGAAGTCGTTGATGGTAGGTAGGTCAAGCACGCGGAGGAGCATCGCAGCTTGGTGTGGCAGACGGTCAAGCCAGATGACTTTGAGGGCTTCTTCCGTAAGCTTGTTGCCTGCTAAGGATTTCATTTTTCTCCAGAGGTTAAAGGGTTTATCATTACCTAGCTGCATACCCGTGAGCGCTTGGTGTAGCTGTTTTTCCTCCGAGTCGGATGTTCTTGAGATTACGTCTTCCTTTACAGCCGTGTATTTTTTGGTGGCAGGCAGCGTAAAGACGACATCCGAAACTAATTCAAGCGTTGCCGTGTCGAGATGGTTGGCTGCGAGGTCGAATTTGTCGTCATCCCTTACAACATTGTTTGTGCGAAAAATGCTCTCGACACTATTGTTTTTCAAAGTTTTGCTGAAGGGGGCCAAAATGGCGGCAGAGCGCACCGTGCCGCGACTGCCATGTTCTCTTCTTGAGGCTCCTCGACTTTGGCGAGCGGGAGCGTTGATAGGCTATTAAGCGTTTGTGTGGCAAAAAGTGCACGTCTTGCGTGAAATTTAGGGTAAACCTCGTCTGCTGGGCGGCGCGGGGTTAAAAAGTAATGCAGGTTCTTGAGCCACTCTGCGAAAACGTGAGCGGCAACTTGGTGGCTTTTGGGCTGTTTTTGTGTAGGTTGCGCAACGGTGGGAAGAGAGCGTGACGACGATGTCGCTGTCTGCTGTGCTGGCTTGTAGATGACACTGTTGGGTGTCTCCGGGATAGGCTGCAGGTCCGAAAAGCAGTGG